GCTACATTATGAGCGAACACAGATGGGTCACTCCTCATCAATACGGACTGTCAGGGCGTATCGGCCAGAAGGAGTGCGCACACTGTTTGAAGCCGTTCTCAGCCTTTTCTTTGAAGCGCGTATGCGACAAAAAGTGGTAGAAAACGAGTAATACGAAGGATATAATGCTGTTATGTCATTTGATCGCTTCAACAACTGGTGCAGAAAGACTTTGGAACCGCGGAAAACGCAGCCGCACTGACCCGCCCCGACAGTCCGTAATGATGAGGAGTATACCTCAGCCTATCGTGGGGTGAGGAGGGTTGCAGAAAGAGCCAAGCGAATCGAGCCCCCCCCCCTCAAAGACGTTGGCCACCGGTGGATGACAAGACCGACCGTAATATGCAGCGGTGGGCTTGAAAGCGGCTACTCACTGATGTCCTACCCGCTCCGCAAGAAAATTGAGGTTGAGTCATTTATCATGGGTGTCTACGATAAGTCATGTAATTTAAAGTTGTGATTAGTCATTCTTTATTTTCCGGACGCTTTCCACAGTTTTCTTGTGCTCGTGTGACTAATCTCTTCGGCGGTCCATCTCGTCTTGTCTTCTGTTTGCACACCAATTCACCACCATGTTTTTCAGTTGATACTACGTGTACTCACTCGATTGTTCGATTGCCCACGATTACAGGGGTAGCGCCTGGGTTTGTTCAGTTTCCGCTCATAAATCGTTAATGGCCCTCATATTGGCCTAGTTCCACTGCTTCATGCATTTGTGATGTTCATCCTCTCGTAGACTGCGCCCACACCTTGCAAAAGTGAAGAAAAGAAGGCATAGCGAAGAGCTTTAGATACGTATCGATCTTTGAGTTGAAAAAAATCAAAGAATTGCAGAACTGACCAGCCCGGAAATAGATCGATACAGTTTTGCTCAAATGAAGGGGCGTGTCGTCGATGGGTTTGGCGCGCCAAAGCTGCTCTCCACTAGTTGCTAAAGCGGGTGAGCGGCAACAGTTGGTGGAAAACGACTGATACGAATATTATGATACAGTCTTATGACTCGGTCGCTCCAACATCTGGTGGAAAACGGGTTTGGGGCCACACGAAATCCGTCCCGCCTGGAACGCCCATTCATCCGCAGGGAACAAGATTACATACGTTCCTCTTCTTCGTGGTTTCTTCAGCTCTTAACTCGTCAATTTTTCCCCTTTGGCGAGGTAGCAAGGTATCATCACGGCTTTAGATCCATTCTCAGTGCCCAACAATCTGTTCTGGATTTACATTATTTCTTTCCGAACACTTGCTTTTTCGCAAATGATCCTTTTTATCTCGTTCGGTAATGCGGCTGGTTGAGGTTTCGGCTTCTTGAACTATGCGTTCCTCTTTAACTTGAAATCTTTCTAAATATTCAAGTTTGTTTCAGAGGTGCAGATGCTCACAACAGAGCAAATCGAAGATCTTTCAGAGAATTTTAAGACGGTGGGAACCATTTCTGTTTGAATTTCGCGTTTATACATATTAAAGTTTTCGTTTAGGTGTATCAAGATGGCACGGGGTTTTTGCCACATAGCGATCTTCAGGCCGCATTGAAAGTGTTGGGTATCGATATACCAGGATACAAGGTGACCAGCTTGATTATTTGTGAATTTATTGTGATCATTCGCTTCTGCATAGTTTGTCGGACAGACAGTTCGCATAATGGGTAGCGCGCTCGCGGTCAGCGTGAGGTGCGGGTTTGAGTTCCGCCTGGGGTCTGACTTTTGCCCATCACTCAATATTCTTGTGATAACTTTCGGAGCCGATCTGCAGCGTGGAAAAGTGATTATCATACTACCAACTACGAAGACCGTCGTCAATAGCAATGTTCAGTAGACTATATTCAAAATATTCCACTACTAATAATTATTCCACTATATTATTACTCGGTGCTTTTGTTATTTCTCTTTCACTGTAAGGTAGAAAAAGTCAGCGTTGAAAGTAGGGGAAGAATCTCCATTTCTTATAGACAGCCCCGCGCTCGAGTAGTACATGGTCGTCCTTCCTTGTGCAAGTAGTACAGCCCCAAGCTAGAGACTGTCCCACTCTATTCGTCTGCACAGCGAGCGAGAAGCGAGCTACAGCCGCTGTAATTCCTTAGTTTAATCGGCCTGCTCAGATGGACGACCTTACTTGCTAGATGTGCCTCGACGGAGCCACTCGTGTTCTTAGTCGGGGCGACGGGCATTGCTAATGTCCATGGATAATTCTGCCTGCTCTCCTTTATTACAGTTTACTCATTGGAGGTATATACATTCAATTCAACTCCATTTCGCGAGGTGAAACGCGTAAAAAACACGAGTGACGCAATTTTCGTGATGCAAAACCACGACGCACAAAAGGTGCACTTATAGGTAATTCCCAAATTCAGACACCGTGTTGATAAGATCCCTTTTTCCTTCCAAGAGCTTTTACTCTGCGTTTTCACTGTTTTCTTTTTGTATTCTTTTTTTGCACTGGATAATGTCAACTACTTGCGAGCATGTGGTTACAGAGATTGTGAGGCTAGGGGTTTTGCAAGAGACCGCTTTGGGGAGGGGTGTGACTGTGACGGGGTAGCGATTTTTGTTTATGTTGGAGGGACGCTTCTTGCCTGTTTTCTTGAGATTACTTATCAGCTACTCTTTCATAATTGGAAAGCACCTATCCATGAGACTTTTATCGCGGGAGCTGTCTTTAAGTTGTTGCAGCGGTTCTGATCCCACCCTTCATCTCCAAAAGGGTCTGAACAGTAGAAAAATTAGTGAATAACTTCAATGCTATGCTTGAAAATCCAAGAAATTGTCTTGAAAATTATTTATCACTAAGAAATCTTATGTATATGAACTAAGTATTTCGAAAGACACGCTTTTACCCGGGTGATAGTTGCGCTGCCTATGGTTACTGGCGTTACCTTCTGATACTATTCTCACCCCTCCTCCCATCGAAAACTTATGGCTGAGGTTTCTTCGACATCGCTTTTAGCTTTTTGGGGGGTTCACCTTCCCAGTGGGACCGTTCCCCATACACACTCGTAGCCGCACTGGATATTGCGTGAACATATTACGGGTTGGCGATATTTCCTACACTCTGACACCATGTTATTGATCAAGAGATCAGTTATTTTGGTTTAGATGCGTGAATTATCCGATCGATATGGTTTTTCAAATTCCGACAAAGTGGAGTTGTCACGATTTGCCCTCTTATTCGATGAATTGGATCAGGCTAAACATCAAGAGACTAACCGATGGAAAGAAAGATTGGGTAATGGTTCCAGTTGACTTTCTTTGCTGTTTTTTGTCCCTCCGAACAGTTTACTCGCTTTATTTTTAGACAAAGGTTTACCTCTAATTTTCGTTTTCTTGCTAGCGTTGAGGCGTTTACCAATTTCTTGTTCGAATATTGACTTATTCCAACATAAATAATAATACTTTATTCAGATCAGTAAGTGGTGCGTATCAAATCCCGAGTGATAAGCAAGAAAACACTGTACATACGATCAGAACAGAGGTAGGGGACTTTCTCCTCGTTGACTGCTCTATCGAATCAGGACACTCCTACCGTTCAGCGTGTGTGTGTTGGGGGGGGGGTATTCTCCGCTAGATATAGTCTAGTACCAGAGATAAGCAGTGGGCTGGCTGCAAGGCATTAGAGCGGTGCGCCTTGGTGGGATATCGCATTCTGGGGCGACTGAAACGATGTCGTTGTCTAGCCTGAGAAGGATGTCAGTTGACGTAAACAGAAATATGTCACGAATAATATCAAATATGTTCTGCGCCTTGTTCAAGGATTCCGGAGCCACTTTTCTATACTTCTACAGAGGATTACTGGGGTCTCTCGATCTGTGTACGACGCCTCCCCCCCCCCCTTTCTTTTTATTTACCAGATTGCTCGCCTTGCACAATCCTAATTCCTTATCACCAATCCAGCCCACCATCCCTTAAATTCTTCCAACTTTTCACTGAATTCTTCCACCTTTTTTAAATGAGCTGGCCAGCAGGGAGGCCGTGTTTGTAGCGCATTTGAAACAGGAAAAACTGGGCGAAAAAACAACCCTAAAGATTTTTCTCAAAGGCAAGGTGACTCCCGCCTTTCCTCCAGCAAGCAGGTACGACCCTCATCTCGCTGGGGATTCCCAACGTACGACGTGCTCTGTTTCAAGCTCTGATTATAAAACCGTTTTATACAAAGAATTCATTGCAGGAGGAGGTAGCCTTCTCTAATTGGATTAATTCCAATTTGTCTGACGACCCTGACCTCAAGCGGTTGCTGCCTGTTATTCCTGAAGGAGACGATTTGTATACCAAAATTCAGGATGGTTTGATTATTTGGTTAGTTTTCCTGATTGTGGTATCATTCTGTGACAATAATTACAATTTAGCCATTTGTTCTTTCTTCTTGTCTCCTCTTTGTTCTTAGCTCGTTTCCTCAGCTGAAACGTCTTCGAATAGTCGAAGCAGGTGCGGCTGTCTTCGTCGAAGCGGTAATCCGTCAGCTAGCCCGGGTGGAATACCTGAATGATGAATGTTTCTCTATGCTACCGCGTAACACTTTTCCGGTCGAGTCAGGCGTTTACGATTCCGCAACAATGATGATGCTGATGTTCATCTAATCATTTCAAAGCAGTGATGATCACATGTAGAACCGGCGGTGCAGGCAACGTCCTGTTCATTTTTCTCGATAGGAAACTCGCCTCACTTCGGTTTGATGCGGGCACCGATTGGTATTTAGCTGAAGCTTGTACCGACCACCTTGTGAAGACCTGCAAATTCTTGTGGCCAAAGTGGCTCATTCGTACCAACACAGCTTCACAAAAGTTTGCAGGCCTCACAAGATCTGCAGATCTCACCTGTTGAGCATGGACCGGAAAAAAAGAAAGGAATTAGTGAAAGTGCAGAATGCCCCTCCCAGCCTTCAACTGCGCTAAAAGTGCCGCTTAAAAACCAGTGATGGAGTACTATGAAGTTCTGAAAAGTGATAACTAATGGAAGGTATTGACATTAGGAGAATTGCTGTTGCGTGAAGGGGTTAACGCTGCTGTTAGAAAGCTGTAGTCTATTCCCGTCTATGAGGTATGAAGGCAAAAGTAGTTTTGATATTCAGAAAGTGGGCGCTCATTGGCTTAGCGGGTGGTCTTTAAATGACTTCCCTTGCCAAGCATACCAAGGTTACTGTAATGAAGATGAGGACTTTTACCTAAGCCGGGGAAGAGCTGCTAGGTGGATGGACCAGCTAAAGGTGTGATACTTCTACACGGATGACGGGAGCATCAGCTTTGCAGAGAGCCTTTTTCTTGCCCCGTTCCAAGGTTATTAGCACTCATGTCGATGCGAAGGCGTCAACAGACCAAACTTTGTCTGATTGTAGGTTTATAATAAGTGTTCTAGTCGTTAGTCGTTGGTTGGGGGAAGGAGGTAGAGGGCGCTGAGACGCTTAGCTGATCCCGTTATCGAAAAGGCTCAGAGTCAGAGCACAGACAACCGGAGTCGTCGGAGGGTAGTCTCGCATAGAAGGCATAGTCTCGACTATGCCTGAGCTTCATTTGGAGGAACCGATACGGAGGTACTGGCAAGAGTCCCTTCCCCACTCCTCAATTACGACAACGCCTTGTTTTATTCCTGTTTTCAGAATGTGAACACAAGTTTATTATTTTCAAGAATTTACTGTCAGTATTAGACTTTCCAAAGGTTTTAGGAACAATTACAGTGTAATTTTTGTGTGCTTTGATATGTGTTTATGAACGGTGTGGCAGCTTTATCCTCTTTTTTCGACCTCAATGAACCAGTATTCCAGCAAACTCGTAAACTTGGCCGTTGCCGGTACCATCGATGAGAAAGCAATTAATAAGAAGAATTTGAATACATACACAAAATTGGAAAATTTAACTCTGGCACTGATGTCTGCTCAGGTTCGTTTTAGTATTTACTTTTCCAATCTGTAGATCTGATATCCCG